TGCCCGTAGTCCTGGCCAGCTGGCAGTCTTAGAGAAGGACTGCAGTACAGTGCAGCCCTAGGAGGTGGTCCCTGTCTCTCATTTTCTCATGAAAGCAATAAATAAGAATGTGTAAATAAAAATAAAAATTTCCCACTTCTGAAGAGTGTAACCATCTCCTACCAGCTGTGTGGGAAGGGGTAGAGCAGGGCATGAACTCCTAAGGGTCTTTGGTAAAATTTAAAAGGGCCAGCAGATGATATAGTGCTTATGTTGCTGGACTTCCACGTGGCTGACCATAAGTCCTAGATCCAGTGGCTTGAAACTCATGCTGGGCACAAGTGTGTGCGTGTCCAAGATTCTGGGAGGAGAATGAAGGAGAAGGGATTGAGGTGTGATCACACCCCTGGGGGGTTTATTTCTCACTTTCCCTCTCACTGTCTGTCTGTCTCCCTCCGGCAAGCACACACACCCTAAGGCAAAAACCTCTATGAATAAATTAAGTAATAAATCACCAACAATTGTAGTACCTTTATAGAAGAAAATGCTAACTTATATATATTTTTTCAAAGACTTTTGGTACAGGCCCATGTGCTCACCAGAGAGAGGAACAGACAAGAGACAGAGGGGGGAAGTGAGAAATCATCCTTTAGGAAGGATGGCCACATCACAATCCCTTCTCCTCCAGTATCCTTGGAATTCTGGTCATGCACACGCCTGTCCTGCATGTTTCTCAGGTGTTGGGTCTGGAACTCAAACTGCAGAGTTGGCCATGTGAGATCCAGTACCGTAACCACCACACCACCAGCTGGTCTTAACTTTCAAAATTTTTACACCTTACAGCAAACAAAGGATTTTAAAGCCCATATGTCAAAGTAGTGGTTCTTAATACTTCTTGAATCTTTCTAAAGGGTAGATGGGAACATTTTCCAGAGAAATGGAAAACACAACTACATACTCATTTATGTAGAGGGTTCTACTGATTCTCTGAAGACACTCCCACATTAACAATCCTTATTTTACAGCTCATAGAGGTTCTTCTCATTAGCATACTAGCATTTTAAAGGAAAAAAAAGTAAGACCTCAGGAAGGAGGGCCATTATACTGTGTGTGTGTATGTGTGTGTGTGTGTGTGTGTGTTAGGTTATACTTGATCCAGTACCTTCTTAAAAACTAGAAAATAGCATGATTCCAAAGTCACAGATCTTTAAAAAGTGGTTCTTTAAAATTTAAGAACCACAGATTACACTAAGAGTATTCATATATATGCAAAGGAAATTTCTGAACTTGTTTTAAGTCAGTACAATTTAAGTCTTCAGAGAAAAAGGTAAGCTCTTATGTTACATCTATAAGTATCAATATTAAAAGTGTTTGGAAAAAAAACCCAATTGATCAAGGAAGAACACTATTCCCCTGAATATCGCACTGCTCTGTAGAAACAAACCCTCCCTCAGGAGTATAACACCACATCCGTTTGTCTACTTAGGCTTTCTTCATCAGGACCACGTTACTCCTTTATTGACGCGTTTCAGAATCACCCACAAAGCATCAGATTCCCTGTGGGTTACAGAGACCAGAGCAGATCCCTGTGCTAATCAGAGCATGCAGCCCTGCCCTCGCGAGGCCACCTACCTTGCATGTCAAAGACCGGGTGCAGGGCTTCTTGGTGTCAAGGTCGATGACCCCACAGTGGATGTCAGGATCAAACTCTCTTTCTGCCAAAAGCATACACTCATTACAATGGGCTCGCCAAACACTCCTTCATTTATTTTGAAATTAAGAAAAAAGGAGAAATCTCACGATAGTCTTGAATTAACATCCACCACATTGACAGTAAATATAATCTATACAATATGTGAGCACTGTGACTAAGAGAGTGGTGACTACTGCCAGCAGATGACAGGGCGGACATTGTTTAAGTCAGCATTACTGCAAGACTACATTCAGAAACACGCCACAGGAAAGCTATGTTTACCTCTCTGTCTCTCTCTCTCTCTCTCACACACACACACCCTCTTTAAAAGCAAGGATGAAGAAAACAAGTCTACCACCTAAGGGACTTTCTCCTAAAGCTGAAGCTGATCACTTTTAAACACACGAGTTACAGATAGCGGTCATTTGCTCCTTATTAATGCCAGTCTAAGATACAGAGAAAAATTAAGACGGAAAGTGTGAGGTTACCTGATAATCTTTTATTTAAAAATTTCCTGTTATTGGAATTGTCTTCAGATTTCTTTTCCAGAGTGGGAGGTGCAGGAAGCCCTTTGCCATTCAGAATCTGTCCAGGCGAAGGCAAGGTTGGCTTTGGTATTGAGACGCAGTTAAGGCCAGGCTTGACTGAGGAACTCACAGTAGCAGGACAGGCTGGCCCCACCGCAGGTTTCAGTAGTGCGCCATCCATCTTTGGATGGATCTTTTCCACTTTCACAGAGGGCGTCATGCTGTCATAGGAGGAAGCAGGAACACCAGTGCCTAAGTGCTCAGCAGCCCCAAATGATGACAAGCCAGGGGAGGGATGAGGGCACAGGCTGGTCTGCCCCACTGCTGGGAGGTCCCTTATGATTTCATTACAACTACCCAGAAACCAGTAAGCTTCATGCTTATTCAGTCTACAAGTCTTTCTGCCAAGGCCAAAGTCCACAGGGTGACCATCACATTTACCTGGGTTTCTATCAGTTCAGACAAATTCTACACACGGGCCTATAGGAAGCCTAAACCTGATGCCCAATGCAATTTCTACAAGAAGCAAAACATGGGGGGATCAGCAGTTAGTGTAATGGCTATGTCCCTGGACTCCCATGCAGTCGACCGTGGTTCAAGTCCCGGACCCAGTGGCTTAAACTCACGCCGGGCGTGTGTGCGTGCATGCCCAAGATCCCGAGAGGAGAATGGAGGAGAAAGGACTGCAGTGCGGCCATCCCTCCTGGGGGGTGATTTCTTGCTTTCTGTCTTTCTGTCTCTCTCTCTGTCTGTCTGGCGAGCATATATGCCCTATAGCAAAATGCCTCTCAAAAAAAAAAAAAAAAAAGAAGAAGTAAAACCTGGAAAAGGTCTCAAGGGACTGAAAACTATCTGTATACTCCTTAGAGAACACCTTTTGGTAACTGCCAATTTTAAGAAAATATTCATCAAAACAAAGTAAACTTCTGAGTGAGCTAATGCATCCAAGAAATGTCACTAAAGATTTATGATAATTCAAACAGTTTCTGTCTCCCCCCCTGTCTGTCTGGGGAGCATATATGCCCTATAGCAAAATGCCTCTAAAAAAAAAAAAAAAAAAAGAAGAAGTAAAACCTGGAAAAGGTCTCAAGGGACTGAAAACTATCTGTATACTCCTTAGAGAACACCTTTTGGTAACTGCCAATTTTAAGAAAATATTCATCAAAACAAAGTAAACTTCTGAGTGAGCTAATGCATCCAAGAAATGTCACTAAAGATTTATGATAATTCAAACAGGCTTAAACTCCAAGAAGAGGCTCTCTGCTTTGTTAGTGAGGAAGACCAATGTTTAATTAGTGTGTGATGTGTCACTGAAGTGGTCGCTTTCCAGGTCCCGAAAAAGGCTCCTGCGATGGGGGCCGAGACTGTAAGCACCTGGTATAGGGTGGGTGCACACTGAACACCTGCACACTGGCACAGCACTGACCCCTCGTGGAGTCTCCTGATGCTGTTCTTCGGCCTGGTCAAGCTCATGTTGATAGGAAGCCAAAAGTTGGCTCAGTTGCCCTCTATGGGCCTAGCTCTAAATAAAGAAGATCTGGATTGATGAGGTTTTATAAACTTCGGTCAGTAGAGTCAGTGCCCTAACAGCTGTTAAGCTGGCGAGCGACTTACGCGCGCTGCACTGGCATTTTCTTTGGCTTTCAGACAGCTCCAGGCACAAACGCCAAGCCCGCTGTACCACACTTCTGACAGAGGAGCAGGGGCTGGGGGCTTAGCAACCAGGACAAACAGCCCCAAACAGCTGTACCTGGAATAGCCTGACAGCAGCAGAGACACTGAAAAATGTCATGGCCTCGCCCAGCTGGCAAGGTCCTCAAGCAGTAGCAGGTGTTGGACCCTACCCTGAGATTAACCAGGTTATCAGACCTTGGGACCGAGATGTGGGGCATACCCTCTAAAGGGAAGCAGGCCAGGGAAAAGCCACCCGCTACCAGGCTGAAGGATGCAATGACGAGGCAAGATGTGTCTCTATGGGCGTGCATGGCTGCTCCCTCATGTGACCTCGAGGGGCCTGCCAACCTACACATCCACTGTGGAAGGCTGCCAGAGCCTCGCCTGGTGGCTGTGAACGTCTTTCAGTCTCCCTCGTCACTGCTATGACGTGAACCCAAGGCTGTGGGAGGAAACTCTGCTTCCCTGTTTGCTCTGCAGGCCCGTTTGCTAGAGTGGTGTCTGCGAATCTCTCCTCCTTTTCATCACGGCTACTATCAAGAGCAGCAGAGTGCCAATAGCCACTCAGTCTCCCATGGGCCAGACGCTACGCCAGGCTCAACACATGTTAACTCAAATACTCCCTATAACCAAGCACAGCCATTGTTATTCTTAGGCTCTAAGAGAAACGGCGCCCTGGTCAAAGCCTGGCAGCTAGGAAGTGACAGAGCAAGACCTGAACCCAGACCTATCTAACTTGAGGTCTCCTTGGGCAAATCTCTTCAGCTTCATTCTGCTTCCTTGTCCTCATCTGGAAAATGGGGATAAGAACAACATCTACTCCACGGGGTTGTTGCTAAGTGACATGGTGCACCGCCCACCCCCAATCATCAAGGTATACGTTGCAAGACCCCCAGAGGATGCTGGAAACTGGTAGTACCGAACTCTACATATACTCACATGTTTTTCGTATGCATACATATGGATGATAAAGTTTAATTTATACATTAGACATGGTAAGAGACTCACAACAACAATGAAATAGAACGATCATAAATAATACACTACTATAAAAGTGGATGTGGTCTCTCTCTTGCTGGCTCTCTCAAAACACCCTACCGGTCAGTATCACCGAGGTGTGACCATGGCCGACAGCAGGTAATTGGAACTGCGGCTAAAGCAGGGACTACTGTACATAAACACACAGCTCAGTTTCAGTATGGGGCACACAATAAGGGCTCAGTAAATAAGACGTATTAACCACATGATTACTACTTGTACTACTCTGGAAAGTCTCCTATGATGTGACACGGAAATAAAGAACCAATGACATCGATTTGAATGCTCCCAAAGTGGACTCTTTCACATGATCCATTCACCCGCTCCCACACTACTGGTGAACTAGCCCCATTTCCAGCAGGTAAGCTTTAAGGATTGGCCATACTCACATTCTACCATGGGGGACTCTATTTTGTTGGATGGGATGCATTGGCCTGGTGCTCCCCCTGAGTTGCTGTTTCTCTTTGGGTGATTTCAACAACTTGGAACTTGACGAGGATGCGCTAAGGACACCTCCACTGGAAGAACGGTTGCTTCCACTTGCACTGCCTCCTTTACTTTTGGACAGAGAAGGGAAGAAGGAAAATACTGAAGTGGGAGGAACGGCCAAAGGCGGCTTGCTGGATGAGCTGTGTCTTCTTTCTGAAAAGGAAAACGGAGGAAAAACATCAAACAAAACACCACGTTTTAGGCAGGTCTCAAATGAGACTCTGGAAAAGTTCCCTGAAATCAACACATTTAGGTTACATGAATGTGTATCATTAAGTGAAAATATGTTAAACTCAGCGGCTTTCAGAGACGGCTTATCTAGACCCCGCAGACTTACTTAGGATTCTAGGAACTGGTCCTTCTGTTTCCGCAGCATCTCAGCATAAAGAGGTTTATCACGTACACCCATTAGGAAATTAAACCACCACTCTAAACATGAGAATATTGCTTTTGGTTTTGCACACTAGAAATGAGCCTCACTGGCTCCAACGTGTATTCAGAGAGGAGCATAAACTCATCTGCGGAGCTCTGCTACCTGACACGGCACGGAGTTCTGTCTTCCTTTCCAGCATGGCACCTCTCTGATTTTCAAAATAGCAAAATCTTAAGAAACAAGTTGTACCTTCTTTTCTTTCTTCTTCTTTTTTTTTTTCCCCTGTCACTACCCACCAGCATATGACACCAAATGAGAATGTTTCTAGGGTTATCTTATCATTCCTTAAGAATCTGTGCTGAAATTTTCCAGTGAATCATTCCACTCTCTCTCTCTCTCTCTTTTTTTTAATAATCTCACTTGACTACAGATGGCATAGCTCCGGTTCGCACCACGAAGATGCCAAAGGCGCAAGACAAAAATACCACAAATAGCTACGCCTGTTTTTTAAATCAGGAAGTAATTCACGGTTAAGTACAGACTACAAAGCTTTAACTGAAAATAAATCTATCCACTGGAGAATCAGGTTTTCTCAGAGTAAGGCAATACAAATCAAAAGCTGTTAAAGAATGTCACCACTGGAAACAAGTAAATTATTTGGTAACTTTATCCATGGGAGTATCTTATGATGGTAGCTTAGTAGCTGCCTTCAATTAAACTTATAATTTATAAATTACATATCTGCTAAAGTTTGAAAATGTAAGTGATCTAACATTTGACTTATTGCAAGAGGGGAGGTATACCAGTATTTAAAATATTAAGCATATAAGAATCAATGACTGCAAGCATCATTTAAATGGTTGATTTTCAAAGGTCTTCTTACAGTAGTCCTGAGCCTCCTAGTGAGGTTGTGATGACTATTCCTGGAAAGACATTACTTCTCCCATCTTTATGAGGTACTTAAGAGCCTGCCTGGTCCACAATGGGACACAACTATTTTGCTATCTAAAGACAAAAATCCAAATTCTTCAACTCAACCACACAAAGGCTACACTCCAGTTAGGAAGACTAAACAGGTAGTTAAGATTCCACCTGGCTCTATTTCCTCCCTCAAAAGAAGGTTGTAAGGAACAGAAGTCTAAAGTAACTTTGGTTTAATGAAATTTCCAAAACTGACACCTTAAGTTTTTCTCTCTTCTGTGATGCCAAAACACTGTAACCATACTTCCAAGTGTCAGCGCTTGTCAGCCAGGACTGTAAAAACCCGTTTACAGTTTTGTGGCCTGCCCTGCATGGCCTTCTTGATCATCTTCCTCTGAAAGGCATGACAGAGGAGGTCTTCATATGTTATTGATGGGCACAGCTGTTATTGTAAAATTAGTGATTCCTCAAATTACTTTAGACCAATGGTTTTCAATCTTGGCTATATATTAGAATAACCTAGGTGCTTGAAAAAGACAAACTGTGTAGGTCCCTCCCTCAAAGACTATGACTTAATTGGTCTGGGGTGTGGGCTGGGCATCAAGACTCTGACACACCTCCCTGGGTAGCCCAACTTGAGAGACTGCCCTAGACTGGCTAATGCCCCAAGAACATGAGCTCAGTGGCTAAGTAAGGGAGCATGTGCACTGCAGTGAGAACACTGCCTGGTACAGAGCACTACATATAAAGGGCTGCCAAATAAATCTCACGGCTGCTACTTGTCCTAAACTAATGCTTTCCAAACTCCTGTCCACTGTCCTCCATCATCATCATCACCATCATCATCATCACTGCCAGAGAGCACCTTAGAGAAGGGAGGGAGAACAACTCTCCAATGGAGCACGGTCACACTGCAATCTTTCCTCCTCCCCATCGGGACTCTGGGCAAGCATGCAGATGTGCTCAGTGTGTTTTTGAAGTCACCAGGGCTGGGACTTGAACGATGATGGTTAACCACGGAGGATCCAACTCTCAGTTCACAGTGCCCAACCACTGTGCTACAAGGCCAGCTCAACTGAAAACTATTTTTCATGGTTCTTACTGAAGCTACATAAAGTACTATAATTTTACTAAACGTTTTAAATGATAATAAACTCTACTGTTCTCTTCTTTGCCTTAGTCCAATAGTATCCAGTCTTTTGTTGGGGCATTATCACCGCTTTAGATAGGACAACTGTATTTTGCAATAGCATTCCTAGTCCCCCCCACAGCTTAATCAAAAGAAGTGTCTCTCTTCCAGAGACCCCCACCCTGTGTCCCAGGTGAAGCAGGGTACCACGACCCTCAGTTGAAAGAGATTATTCCAAAGCAACAGTATCTATGAAACAACAGAATTGACAAACTTATTATATATACGATTTTCTAATATATAATGAGATAACTATTTAAAAGTTTATTCATGTTTGCCTAGAAAAAAAATCATCTTGTGCATTGTACACAAGATAGTGCACTCAAGGAATAACACCTGTGGTGTATGAAGAAAGAAAACCGTCAATCGGAATGCAACCTCTTCTAAGAGGTAGACTTTTATTTTCTAGGTATCAGAATTCTCAAGTTGTTTCCTCAGATCAAATGTGATGTTATTTGCACTTAAGATCAAATGATCAGATAAAGTCCTCAATCTAATCAAATAAAGTCAGTTCTGCTACAATGCTTGTTTTGATCATTTAAATTACAAATAATTCCAAAGCCACTGATATACTAAGGAATGATCTGAGCATAGTGAAATTTTGCATCTGTTTTGCATAATTATGGATGCAAGGAACACTAGGTGAACACAGAGGAACTACACCCAGCTGAAACTGAGCTGCCCAGGAACAAACAAAACGGACGGCCAGCCACTACCCGCCATCCACCCTCAGCTCGCCATGAGAGTCTGAACCATGCCCTTCACACATGACGTCCTGAAGTCCCTCCCATTTCAGGTACCTCCTTCCACCACTTCCAGTAACTCACAAGCTGCGCTCCTTCCCACGCCCACTTACACAAGCAAATACACTTTTCAAGGTAAGAAGCCATGTAACACATGTCAGCCTGTGCTCCCATTTCCATTAGGTTCCCATCTTTTTCTGCATGTCCACTGATGAAGCCTTTTAAATGTTATGCTGCTACCCCATTTTCCCAACATGCCTCCTGTGGCTTTTCTTGCACAATTTTGTATAGTGGAGTAATTTTTTAGGAATGCATGCTATGTTACAGCAAACTGTAACTTTAAGCTTGTCCTTTCAATGTTTTATTCCCACCATGACCCCCCTTCCTGTTTTCCTCTGTGAACACATTCTTTTCTTGCCCATTAACTCTTAATACAGGATTCAGTACTTGACATACAAAATTTGAAGCTTTCTAAAGTGAAAAATCTGCTAATGTATCAATAATATTTTTTTAAAATAAAATCTATCAAGTGTATTTCTTTCATTCACTTAAAATTGAAACAGAATGTGTGTGTGTATGTGTAAGTAACTGAGATCCTGGCTGGAAAGCACCAACTTGCATCTTTGCCACATTACTGAACTAAGTTGTTTCTTCACCTCATGGACCAGAAACAACTTCTGTGAAAAGGACAGCATCTGGCTTTCCCTTTGTAAGAAAGCAAAACGGAAAACCAGATTTAACTAGAGTTGACTTGGACTTCCTTCATCCTTTCACTGTGGGTCCTTATTTTTTATAAGATTTTAAACTGTGATTCCAACTTTTAAAAGTGTTCCTAGGTCAAAGAGAAATGGGCAAATTATGGGCAGGGTTAGGGAGCCCATAGTAAATGGACAAAAGCCGTGGCCAGATGCTAAGTGCCAC